TGCTAGTATGGCTCAGGGTGCATAAGCAAATACCCAACTTGTAAGAGACAGGCAGCTACCTTTTTGTAGTTCTCATGAAGAATACGATTCTCATCCCTGCCAGATCCTACGGAATGTAGAAGCGAAGCCACTGGTTGACAGAGACACGCGTTAGACGGAAATCACCCGTCACTTGTGCGGATTGGAAAAGCAAAAACATACCTTAACCGTACTTGTGAAGGCGTCCAATGACGTTACTCTGACCGCACTCTAGGAGATTTTCCAGTTATCAGCTCGTAGCCTTCGGCTTCTTATTTACTTCGCTGAGGTCGCTCATGCTCAGGAGCAGCTGGTTGTTGAGCATCTTAATGGAACAACGGATTCAACAGCCAACGTTTCCGCGGCTCCGATTGCAATGTTAATGTCAGAAGCAGGCGGAAGGGCTTCGGAGGGCAAGCTAGAAGCCGACTGTTCGATCAGTGCAGTCAGGGCGGGTCTCATTCAAAGCCCCTGCGGTAAGACCGAATTGATGTAAGGCTGTAACTTCAACTTCAGCAATTTTCACCAGCGGAGTTATTCTTGGACGTTAGCTACGGATGACCTTGACGCTGCTGAAGAAAATAATAAGATATGAAAAGGAACTACTCAATACAAAGTGGAAAGACGGTACAATCGTCAACACGGAACACGTGGAAGATCGTACCATAATGAAGAGCCAGTCTATATCCGGGAATATCGTTCTTGAAAAAAAAAGAATTCTTGCCCACGTAAAAAATCGTTATGGACGAGTATTAAATGAAGTTCTGACAAAAGACAGTAGTGGGGACGTCACGTAACCGAATGTGAACGAATGTTTTCCTAAAGATTTCATGTCAGGAAGCTCGCCATTAGAGAATAGCAGCTTCTTTCTAGTGGTGAGCTTCCTGACATGAAATCTTTAGGAAAAGTGTAACAAAATCCACAATGAAAAGTGCGACCCGCAAGAGATTCCAACGATAAAGTTAATGGATCGAAATGCAGCCGCAGCACTGATGGATAGAGCGAACCTACAACGCCGTCATCGAATCGTCTCCAAGTATACTCGAGGAAGAAGACATATGTGATACATTCAACAGGGGGTGAGGTGCTGAGGATCGTTGGTACAGTTTACTATCATAGTGTATAGAAAAGTGTTCTGTTTGGGTATCCTTCCTTCCCTTCTTCCCATTCCTTCTAACAACTCCAACATGGACCACATTGGTCATTACGTCTCGAGAGGTACAAAGACTATAATAATAGAACAGTGGTACATTTTATAGCAGAATGAGTTCTTCTACTAGGTCGACTGAAAGATATCTTGTCTAAACGGCAAGCAACAAGAAGTCTCATGCTCCTCAACAGATCGAATATCTCTGAATGCTCTAGCTACATATGGGTCAAGAAGTCAACATGATGAAAGGTCTAGTTTCGGAGCTTGAGAGGGAATGCTCGCCGTAAGAAGCACTTGAAATCATTGAAGGAATAGTGAAGAAGCAAAGAACATCCGGCTAAGCATCACCTCTTCGATACTGCGGTCCTTCGTGCCTCGACGTAAGTCTCAGAAACTTGGGCTCTACGAAATCAAATTCAGCATGAAGTTCGCATCATAAAGCAAGATGCTCGGAAATCTTCTATACACGCGTGCAGATAGCAGTTCAAAGTTCCGCGTTGCTTGCGACAAGGAATCGAATTTCAGCTGGGCCACACATTAATTGCGGGATTGTGATAACTATTGGACCATACGTTTGCTGACCATATCCCTCGGCCGTCAAACATACAAGGAAGGTCGCCGGCGCAGTGGTTAGACTTCTTCACAAAAGCTTGAAGGAAAGGAATGCTCTGCCTCAAGTTTCTCGAGCGAAGAAGATCTGGTTCGCAACAGTAGTGAATGGACGTAACTCACGGAAGCTCTAGGAAATCGAACGTTACTGGCGCGACAGGTGGTACACGTGCAATGCTCGTCATTAAGAAAAGGAGAACCCAACAAATCAACAAAAATGAATGTGCTACTTCGTTCTTCGCATTCAATCTCAACACTTGTTTCCAATTGCTCTTGCTTATTGATAATTCCGGCAACGCGAAAATTTGCGCAGGAAAAAATTTTATCTTAAACCTATCAAAAAATCTTACTAAAGATAATGATGAACGGGAAACTGCTCAGCCCCGGACGACACCCGAACCCATTCTTGTGCTCCACATTGTGCTCATCATTTTTCAAACTAACGAAAACACAGCAGTTCCTATCCCCCTTCATGACCGTTCAACCAACAGTATTGCTGTGAGCCTATCAGTTTCTTAATCACAGCCTAATAAGCATGCAACTGGTACCGGCAATGGACTGCGAAGCTGCATACTTTATGATACTTCTTGTTTTTTAGTTTATTATCTTACTTATCTGCCGTTTGCCGTTCGCAATGTGGAACTGGTGGGACTACTGTCTACTCTAAAAGCTAAGCGATAATTCACCCTTCACCGTCTTCTTCAACTGTTGAAAGGTTCTTAAGAACAAGGATGAGAACATCAACGATGGAATCTTTGTCGCTGACCTGTAATTATTGTTGTAATTGTCGCTTCGGAAAGCATGAAAATGAAGGTGAAGAGAAATTTCTTGACAATGTTGAAACGACCTCTCTCGATAACATTTTCGCCAAGTGTCGACATAGTAATTTCAAGATTATACCCCAAAGTATATCGACTTCAGCCAAACAATCAGTCGCGTGCTTAATATCGATGACCAGAGACGAGAGCTGCAATGATCGCAAGTTCTGTAATCACTTCGAGTCTTTGCTCATCTTATTAACATACTTGAGACGAATACTGTCAACCTTCACCGTTCACAATACTTCTCAGTGAATGTGTTTATCAGGGAAAGCATGTAGGCTGAAGAAAGGCCGAAAACAAAATATTAGCTTCGGCAGGAAGCGTAAGGCATTGAGAAGCTTGCAAGAGATTCAGACCTTCCGCATTTCAAAAAAATGAGAAACCTCTAAAGGTACGGCAGGTAGTCAGCAATACACTATTTTCTCTTCAACGCTGTGCTTAACGAACGACACTATCGCTCCTTTCATGAATATCGAAAAGGCCTCAAATGTTTTCCTCGCAACAACCATGGTGTTTCATCCGGTTACATAGAATAGTCGAAAACGCTTGCACAAGTACAAATAGCTTTCTAGACTAAGATCAAGCACATAGAGCGTCGTTTGTCTAAGAGGTGTTTTCAACCTACAAAGTGCGAATACTATGAAAGCAGCATGCTTTAGTGGTAAATAGTTTCTTTCACCGCAATGGGAAGTGGGCTTTGCTATGTAACGACTGAGTTACTACGATCAACAAAGGCCTCCAATTAAAAATTGAAGGAAGTCAATCTGGCGGAAGTGTTGATTATAAACTTGTGATACTACTAAGTCACAAAACCATGTGTTGCCTACGGAGATTGTATTTCTAGACGACATGGCCTTATCATCCACTGGCATCTCCTTCTTCCGGACTTTTGATCTGAATCGCCCCTGTTATGACCCCTTCGCTTACTCTTTTCCAACTGGTATAATCTACCGACATTTGACCAGCCCTTGTTCGCCAAAGGCATCTTTCATAGTCCACGACCAGTCGCTAGCGACCGGCGACCAGTCGCGCGATCGGTCGACCGGTCGTGGACTATGAAAGATGTCAAACAGATCTTCTTTCCTGTTTGAAAATTGGTGAGCTAGATCGAAGGTCTCAAATTAGCCAGAAGATATGATGATCGCGAGTTTCGGTACGCTAATATTTTGAAAGCGTTAACAACGAAGGAAAAGGATCTAACTACGGGACTAAACCGATGTATGGCATGCGAAGATGACCTTCATGCTCGGCTGCTCTGAGTTACCCCCGGCAGGCAAACTTTCTGCGATGTGAAACCTTCAACAGAATCTTCGAAGTCGCCCTTCCTTATTCATTTTTTAAGGAGTCTAAAATATAAAGACTTGGGGCATTGATCAATCCAGTCTGAGGGATGCGCCCACGCATTCAACTTACATTCAGAATCGTAGTGGCGTGTTGAATGCGTATTTGGTTTATACAATGAATTGTGGGCCAGCAGATGCACAAGTCAGTGTGTTCATCTTCCCAGACGAGTGTGGTACTAATTAACCTACCTCGGAAGGTTTGGTTTGCCTAAACGGATATCGATTCGAAATTCAAACCCGTCACGATGGGTGTGTGAAGTGCGCCACTTGCTACTCCACCACCTTCGCCCTATTCATTCTTCATTTCTTCTTCTTAAAAATTGATTCTGATGGTCTGGCCAAGGATAGAAGAAACTGAGAATGCGCCTTCAACTTCCTTGAAACCAATTTATTATAGAGTCTTGTGCTTCAAGGAAAACAAAGAATGTCATTTAAGCTTCGATTCTGTTCCAACAAATCCAATATTCTAACTAATAGGTTTGCTGCACTGAACTACTACCACGATTCCACTAAGCCGTCAGACAAGTTTCCTGCCTTTGAATGTGAAGAGGACTAGGAAAAATAAAACGAGTTGCGTTAAGAAGGGATAAGTTTGAGACCAGTAAACGAGAGAAGTGTTATTTCATTCTGATCGAGTTTTGACTGGAAACCTTCCACTAAACAGTCCAAACTCACATTACACGCTTCCATATACTGCAAAATAACGAACTCTAGCATCGTCTGAATTTGTTCATGGCTACAGTAAGTATAATATGACGGAAGGAACGATAAAATGAGATCCACTGCCTAAAAAAGTTCCAAACTCCTAGGAGGTCGTCGACATTGCAAAATTCTCATTGATCCGAGTGAGGACATTTTCGTCGGTATAATAGATATGCATACCTGTGAACGTAGACACAACTCCCTTATATCGTTCGAGGGGAGATTCATCAGTGCGGACAATTCGATCTTTGCATTGGGGCGGGTACTACTCTGAGGATTTAGTAATATCATAAGCACAGCCGTATATGGGCACTTCAACATTTCCTAAACCGTATATTACAACTTTAACACAACATGCTCAATCACAAGAAGTTTTGTTTCGAACATATCGAAAAAAATTTTGTCAAAAAGGTTTACCGCTGAGAAAGTTTTTTCAAGCTGCATTTCAGATTGATTTCCATCACGGTACCACTTAGCCACCAATAATAACTCCACCAACGCCTTCGCCAGCCTGCAGGCTTCCACTAAAAATAACAATGGTAGTGAAAGCAAATACTCGAACCATGAATAAAAGGTTAACCTTCTTACCGTGCTTACTATTTTTCCACAAAAACGTTATAATACTTGGTAAATCGCTACATATTTCGGAACTAAGTTTGTCATATCGTAGCACATGCACGGAACCAACGAGTTTCTCCATGAGAAAAGTGAAGTTACTGAAAAAAATGTGACAGTTCAAGTGAAACAAAACATGAAAATACAAACAAACAGGTGGCTAACTAAGGTAAGTGACAAAGAAAGTGAGGCACTCTTTACCTTACACACTCAGTACCAGTGCTATTGAGAATCACATCCCGCAGTTCACGAAAGCGTTCAATGGCCGTAGTAGCCCCCAAAGATGAGAAGTGTTGACAAACGGCATGAAGCACAGGTGAAGTGGAAGAAAATTGGAATACCTAAATGCATAAAGAGAGAACTTTCCCAAGCATCGGAGGAAGGGCAAGAAATTTCGCTGTGAACACATTCAAGGGGGTGCCACAGAAAGGCTCAACCACTGAGAAAGAAATCCGATGTTTTTCTGAAATTCATTTCTTTCCGGCGGAGGGAGACTAACAATTCCTTCTTGTTATGATCAAGTAGGAGGATCTCTTCCCCTTCCATAGTGGGAATTTTGTGGTAGGCTTGATGCCAATGTGAAATCAATACACACCTTGCAAGATTTCAAGATGACTATCAAAGCATCGATAATTTCCTTCCCAAAACCAGTGAAATTTTTGAGGAGCGCCTCGGAAGAGGCATCGTTACCTGAAATAGGTAATATCTGTTAGTAACTAATACTCCCAAACAGCGACACTTAATAGTTTATGAGAAAGAACTGAAAAAGGTAAAATTCGCAGCGTGAAACTGCTCTTTTATGTGAGGTAAGACAATAAGGCACATAAGCAAAGACTGTTATCTGAACTGAACAAATGAGTAGAAGATAGATCTGCAGCCTCTTAAATCTCTCAGCGATGGAATAGTCATTGTCCAAACCACGGGTGCTGAATGTATTGCCACTGCGAACAAATTATGAACATAGAGAACAATTAAGCGAAAGCCTGTATTGAAACACTCACTTAGTAGAGCTTGTCTGAGAGTTTTTTGCAGAACTTCGACCTCGGGCTCTGAAGAGTGTTTCGCCTTCTTCGAAGGAGGAGAAACCATCAATGCTGAAGCACGCCCTTAGTTCGGTTTTCTCTTCGCCCAACCGAAGGCAGGTTACTCTGCGTTTGCCTAAAAAGAAGGAATCGATCGGCAAGTTTGAGACATTGATCGCAATCGACCTACTCCAAAGGCATTAGCAGAGCAAGGCACAGAAACGAAAATTCATTTTGTGCACACGACTCCTGCAGTAATCCGGCATGGCATAACCACAGTTTATTTTGAAAACTCTCACCTGTCATACATACGACGCGTCGAAAAGGGGTCTTGGGCGAGGACCCAATGGCTACTTTGGCTGCTTTCAGACCTCAACGATTCATCCGTCCGTCCGTTCAGCGCGTGCTGCGACGGCGGTCGCTAGAGTAGTGTTGACAGCGCTGGCACTTGATCCAGTGTTGTCAACAACGGTCAGCGCCGCCGTCGCGGCACGCGCTGAACGGACGGACGGACAGACGGACGGACAATCGTTGAGGTCTGAAAGCAGCCAATGGATGCGTGGCGGGGAAGCCAGGGGTTACGATAGCGCCTAATACTCGTATTGAATC